TAAAGTCCTCTATCATCATCATTGGAAGTGATTTTAAATCTGAATCTTGCTTTCCTGGTATGATGGGGGTATTGAGGACTTTCTATTGTGGGATAACTAGTTTCTGATAATGCCAAGTACCCTGGGTTGCTGATGCTTATGTTCTTGTGCTTGCCTTTTGCCATCTGGTTATCTTTAGTGCTACCTGTGCTCACTCTGACTGGAGCCTGTCTTTCCTGTTATCATCGTTGTGTCAGAACTGTTTGAGGTGGATGTTGCTGCTAGGGATAGAGCTCCAGGGAGACCCGCCTTCTCTGGGTTTTGTGGAATTTGGTGCAGAGCTGAAGCTCAAGATCTGCTCAGTGCTTGGGTGCAGACCAGAAGGAACCAAATCTGGATTTTTAACTCAGAATATTGCATTGCCTTTCTAATTCCTCACGTCTGTGGATTTTTCTCACCTGGAACTACCATTTCTGTTGTTGCTGTAGGTTCCAGATTGGATTCTTCTGAAGATTGTGTATTCTGATTTAAAGAATCTTCTAATCTTTGCTCTATGCCCTCTAATTTAGCATCCTATCTTTCAATCCTTTCCTTATCCAAGCTTGCTTATTCTGACCATTCTTACAGAGGATATACAAAATTGTAATCATTATTGAACATATTATTATTCTTATGTTGACAGTCCAAACAAACTATATGAGATCCAAATATCTTTTTCTACAGTGTTTTCCATTTTTTAATGTGGACAATATTTTCTTTTTAATCTCTCTAACTTCCCCCTTTGTTTGGCAATTTCACTTTAGTTTTCCTTCTCTCTCCTTTCTTTGGAGCGTCTACCCTATTTTCCTTTCTCCCTTGTATTTCTAGAGATTTCCCTTTGGTATTCTCTTTCCTTTGTTGGAGACTACTTTCTATGTGTGTATTTTATTTCTCTCTTACTGTTTTCTAAATTTAATATCTTTTTCTGTATACAATTTTCTCTAAACTCTTTCCTCTGGAAAAAGTTTTTAATATTATTTAATTTTCCTTTTAAGGACTTCATTTTATTAATTTTAAACAATTTTTATCTGTCTGTAATGTTTTATATCCACTGTCTTTTTTCTTTAGCATTAAAGTATATTTTTAAACATTTTTTTTCTTTATCAGAAGTTTGGCTGCATTTGGATTTCTTCTGCATCTCTCTGTATCTGGCTTCTGATTCCCAAGCTGTCACTGGCTATAACCTTGGCCTTTTATATATAGAGAGAGGCAGTTATGCTTCCTGTGTGACTTAAGCTTTAGACTGGCTCTCCTCCATATGATTTTCTCTAGGCCCAAGTGGCAACCTGGGCTGGTTCCCCATTTTCCAGATCATGCCAAGCCTCTGATTAGGGACTTGTGGTTGGCAGCAGCTTCAGTTGTCTCCATCAGCCTTGTGTTCTATCCAGCTCAGGGACTGTGCTCACAGCCCTGACCTCACCCCCACCCCTTGCTGCTGTTTTATTTGGAGTTAATTTATATGTCCCAGCAATGAGTCAGAGCAAGTTTCCTGACTCCCAAGTGTTTCCTGGCTCTTTCCAGCACACCTTGAGAAAATTTCCAGTCTTCCTATGGACATATTTATTATTAAACAATTTATTTTAATACTAAAAGAGCTACATTCAGAAATTTATTATTTAAGGCCAACCCTAACAAGGATAAAGCTAGGAAATTCTAATCTTATAAAATACTATTAACTTACTGTAAATTGTTAGAGATGATTAAGACATGCAAGTTAATGGTCAGTCACCTTATAAATGAACAAATTCTTTAATGTATTCAAAACTATACTTGTTGCTATGCTAAATACTAATTGAATTCATTACAGGAAAATGCTTTAGCCTTCTATATGTGTGCCTTTAAGCCTAAAACAAATAACTAAAAACAAGCAAAATTTGTTTATCTTATTTATACTTAATAAATAATGGTCCTCAATCTTGTTATGGATCTAGTGAATATCATATTTAAAGGTTATGATAAATGGAATCATCAAATTCTACTTGTGACCTCAAGGTCTCCAGAAGGATAGATGGAACACCAATGATTCCACCTGGATTGTGGTAATGCTATCCATTTGGAATAACTGCCACAATGCCTTGCCTGCCACCAGGACTCTGACCAAATTGTGAACAAGAAAGACACTGGAAAGTTGATTGTCCTATTTTTCCCCAACAAAGTATTGTCAGTACACCAAATTCCTCCTCTAAAGGTAAATCTTTTACACATGTCCCTGGCTACTGAAGACTGATGCTGCCCCATGTACTCTGCTCCCAGTGAAGCCATGGGGATGGTGGCAGAGTAGAATAACTGTCCAATTTACAGTAAGTTAATAACATTTTATAAGATTAGAATTTCCTAGCTTTATCCTTGTTAGGTTTAGCCTTAATAACAGTTTCTAAATGTAGCTCTTTTAGCATTGGTAATGGGTAAGTCCTTGTAATTTTAATTGCTATATAGGCCATTTGGATCATACATCCTGCTACAGAGCAATAGTGATAAAAACTGAATGGTATTGGCATGGAAAGAAATAATTTGATCAACGGAATCAAATGAATAAAAGACCCAGAAATAAACACACATATCTATGGATATTTGAATTTTTACTAGGAAATCAAAACCATACAGTGGAAAAAAATAAGATGTCTTCAACAAATGGTGTAGGACTAACTGGATGTCTTCTCGTAGAAGAATGCAATTAGATACATATTTAACACCTTGCACATAACTCAAGTCCAAAAAGATCACAGACTTCAAAATAAAACTGGATACACTAAATCTAATGGAAGAGAAAGTGCAAAAGTGACTTTAATAGTTTGGAAATCAATTTGGTGGTATTTCAGAAAATTGGGGATAGTTCTACCTCAAGATCCAGCTATAGTACTCCTGGACATACACTCAAAAGCTGTTGCCTGACCATGGGATATATACTTCTAGCTGGGCTACCTTGTCTGCCCTCAGTGAGAAAGGATACATGTAGCCTCCAAGAGACTCGATGTTCCAGGTTTGGGGAATGCCCAAGGGGCACCTACCTGCTCAGAGAAGAAAAGGATGGGTGAAGGTTTGTGAGAAGAGGTGACTGGAAGGGGGCAATGAATAGAATGTAAAGTGAATAAATAAGTAAAAAGAGAAAGTGATCTTTGAAATAGAAAAATAAAATATTTCTATAACTTGGTGATAAACCAAAGAAAGTATAAAAATATTGTCCTACCTATTCTTTATATACTCAAGTAACCCTAAAGGTTACCAAAGAAATGAAATTTGGCGGATGGTTGTGTTTCATTTTGCAGTGTTTGAAAAATTTAATTTATATGTATCATACAATTGATTCCTATTCAGGATTTTAGATATCTTCTGCCTTGAGCTCTGAAAAGGACAATTATGTCATTGTACTTTTATTAGAAATAATTCTTATCTTAGGGATACTTTACAGATTAAAACTGATAATGCTCTGACATATGTATCCAGTAAAAGGCAAAATTTCTTTAAATATTATAATATAAAACATGTTACTGCTATACTTTACAAATCCTACAGATCTAGCAATTGTAGAAATATCTAACTGTATTTTACAAGAAATGTTCCTAAAATAGAGAGGGGTTAAGAGATCTCTGAGAGATAGATTGCATAATGATCCATTGACTTTAAGTTTGCAAATGTCGATGAGACAGGTAGCACAACCACTGAAAAACACTGGACTGTAGAAAGTATCATTGAATTAAATCAAGCCATATATTATAAGGATGTTGGTTGCAACTGCAGAATGATATCAGGAAATGTGTTGCATTGTGGGAGATGACTTGTTCTTGTTTCAAATGGAGGTGAAAAGCTGTTGATTCCTTCAATAATAATAAACATTAGATTTGACAAGGGAAAAGTGCCTGAAAATCTTGATTCCAAACATGGAAGAAGAGATTCAGAATAACAACAAAACAGGTGACATAAATGCTGTTCCCTTTACATGGGAACAGCCATATCCCAGCTGAAGCCAGTAAATCTTGTTGGCTATCAGGTCCTCAGAACAGTTCAAAAGGACTGGTAAACTTTGATTCCTTTCTTTCCTCAAATATAGAGCAGAAAATCATAAAATCTTTAGCTGATTTGTGCACACTGAACATTCTGTACTTATGTTAATGCAAAAATACATGTTATCTTTAAAAGTTTACGCGAACTTCTCCTCTCACACATTTAGTAAGACTATGGTCTTGAAAGTTCCCAGGGACTAAATCACCAACCAAAGAGTACATATGGAGGGACCCATGGCTCCAGCCGCATATGTAGCCGAGGATGGCATTGTCTGACATCAATAGGAGGAGAGGCTCTTGGTCTTGTGAAGGCTAGATTCTCCAGTGTAGGGGAATGCCAGGGCTGTGAGGTGGGAATGGCTGAATGGGAGGGAGAGCACTCTCATAGAAGCAGGGGGAGGGGGATGGGATGGGGGGTGTCCAGATAGGAAACAAAGAAAGGGGATAACATTTGAAATGTAAATACACAAATTATCCAATTAAAAAAAAACTGAAAAAAAGGAAAGTTCCAAATGTTAAGAAATGTTAAGGTTTTTTTTTTTAAGTTCCATACATAACAAAGGATACCCTTATCTGACATAAATGAAAGGGGAGGCCCTTGGTCCTGTGGAGGCTTGATGCCCCAGTGTAGGGGGATGCTAGAGCAGTGAGGTAGGGGTGGGTGAGTGGGTGGAGAAGCACACTCATAAAGACACAGGGGAGGGAAGGAGAGGGGATAGGATGGGGGAATTGTGGAGGGGTAATTAGGAAGGGGATATCATTTTAAATGTAAATTAATAAAATAATTAATAATAATAATAAAAGAATAGTTAACAGAGGACCAAGGAAAAGGAAACGCCATTTTATTGTGTCTTCATTGTTTCCCCAAGGACTTGGCTTAATGAGCTAAAGTCTTAATGTCTCCTAAAGTTATTGGCTTCCTCTATATGAAATCTCTCTTCTACATGAACTTGTTGTTAATTCATTAACTTGACGTTAATGTTAATTCATGTTCTTCATTTGTCTGGTTGTCTCTGGAATGTTCCCTTGGTTGGATGCATTGAAGCAGGAGCCAATTGGGACTTCATTCATTTTCTGGAAAGACAAAAGTATAACCTTACCCTGATGTTTCAAAAACAGCAGCCCTTTTCCATTGATTAGCTTTAGAGTTGTTCATTTAACTTAAGGGTGTATCTCCCTCAGGAAAAATGCTTTGGGGCAGCAGAAAATATATTATCCTTTAAAGTGAAAACAATTAAAATTAACATAGTCAAATGTAGCATAACATGTAGGGATTTAGGTGACCATACATACATGTTTCTATTTTTAAAACATGTTGTTAAGTGTTTGATGGTACCATTCCACAACAGCATGATCCTCTGAAATATAAGGGGTTTCAGTAACATGAGTAGAATTTTGTATATTGTAAAATGTTTTAGAGCATTTGTTAGTACAAACAGGACCATTTTCTGTATTTAGTTGTAATGAGAGCCTTAGAAAAGTGATACATAAAGAACTATTTGGCAAAGTTAAGTTTCACATGTGACACAATAGTATTTTCCTGGAGACTCCATTGCCATGGTAAGCCTGGGGCACTGCTATGTAGTTTATTAGTTAGGAAGTGGCACTATGCACGCCTTTAGTGCATTCCAAGCACAGATCTCTACACACCTGACAGTTGAGAAGTCCCCAGACATAGACAGCCATAGTTCCAGATATAATGTGAGAACCACCCATTAATTATCCAATAAAAGCTTGAAATCCTTTGTAAAATATGCCTTGTGAATATTCATAGAATAGGCTCTTGTGAGTCTCCTCTAAATTTTTCCTTTGCCAGCATCTTATTTGTTCTTGTCAGAGATAGAGAAAGCACAAAACTTAAGTAAACAAATAAATAAATAAATAAATCCAACTTAATTAACTATGGTCATTAATCTTTAAAGATCTAAGTCTAAAGCATTTATATAATGTTTAGGGTCTTCAAAGTTTAGGAAAATTAAATTTTGAGCTCAAAAATATTTCCTACTAGGTAAAAGAATATTCAGAAATGTCTGAGAAATAATCCCAGAAAATCCTGAAGGAGAAAACAATTGGGTTCTTTTTATTATCCAAGCAGGAAAGTAAATATTTGACTGATTCTATATATCAGCCTTTTCCAACAGGTACAATGCATTATTGAATAAGCTAAAAATCTGCTCTGTTTTACTGTTGTTTTAGTGGGAATCTCTAGAAAGCAACTTAAAAAGTTGAGCCAAATCCTCAGTAATGATGGGAAGATAACACAATGTAAGCAGTGCTATGAGGAAAACACATAGCTCTGAGTGCATACAAAAAGAAACTGGAGAGAGCAGACACTAGCAGCTTGACAACACACCTGAAAGCTCTAGAAAAAAGAAGCTAATACACCCAAGAGAAGTAGACAGCAGGAAATAATCAAACTCAGGGCTAAATCAATCAAGTAGAAACAAAAAGAAGTATACAGAGTATCAGCAAATCCAGGACCTGGTTCTTTGAGAAAATCAACAAGATAGATAAACCCTTAGCCAGACTAGCCAGAGGGCACATAGACAGTATCCATAATAATAAAATCAGAACTGAAAAGGGAGACATAACAACAGAAACTGAGAAAATTAAAAAAAAATCATCAGATGCTACTACAAAAGCCTATAGTCAACAAAACTGGAAAATCTGGATGAAATGGACAATTTTCTAGACAGATATCAGGTACCCAATCTAAATCAGGAGCAGATAAACCATCTAAACAGTCCCATAACCCCTAAAGAAATAGAAGCAGGCATTCCAAGTCTCCCTACCAAAAAAGAAACAAACCCAGGACCAGATGGTTTTAGTGCAGAAATCTATCAGACATTCAAGGAAGTTCTAATACCAATTCTCTTCAAATTAATCCACAAAATAGAAACAGAAGGAACACTACCCAATTCATTCTGTAAAGCCTCAATTTTGCTCATAACTAAACCACACATAGACACATCAAAGAAAGAGAAATTCAACCCAATCTCCCTTATGAATACCGATGCAAAAATACTCAATAAAATTCTCACAAACTGAATCCAAGAACACATCAAAACAATCATCCATCATGATACAGTAGGCTTTATCCCAGGTATGTAGGGATGGTTCAATATTCGGGAATCCATCAATGTAATCCACTATATAAACAAACTCAAAAACAAACAAACAAACATGATCATCTCATTAGATGCTGAGCAAGCATTTGACAAAATTCAATATCCCTTTATGATAAAAGTTCTGGAACCATCAAGAACTCAAGGCCCATACTTAAACATAGTAAAAACAATACGCAGCAAACCTGTAGCCAACATCAAACTAAATGGAGAGAAACTGGAAGCAATCCCACTAAAATCAAGGACAAAACAAGGCTGCCCACTCTCGCCCTACCTACTCAATATAGTACTAGAAGTCCTAGCCAAAGCAATTAGATAACAATAGGAAGTCAAAGGGATACAAATAGGAAAGGAAGAAGTTAAAATATCACTATTTGCAGATGTTATGATAGTATACTTAAGTGACCCCAGAACTTATACCAGAGAACTTCTAAACCTGATAACCAACTTCAGCAAAGTGGCTGGTTATAAAATTAACTCAAACAAATCAGTAATCTTTTTCTACTCAAAGGATAAAAAGGCTAAGAAAGAAATTAGGGAAATGACACCCTTCACAATAGTCACAAATAGAATAAAATACTTTGCTGTGAATTTAAACCAGCAAGTGAAAAATCTGTATGACAGGAACTTTACTTTTCTGAAGAAAGAAAGTGAAGATTATCTCAGAAGATGAAAAGATCTCCCATGCTCATGGATTGGCAGGATTAATATAGTAAAAATGGCCATCTTGCCAAAAGCAGTCTACAGATTCAATGCAATCCCCATCAAAATTCCAATTCAATTCTTCATAAAGCTAGAAAGAGCAATTCTCAAATTCATTTGGAATAACAAAAAAACCCAGGATATTGAAAACTTTTCTCGAAATCCCTCGTTTCACTGTCTGAAGAGACTTCCTAAAATTGCAAAGATCCTTATGGGACTCAATTTACTTTATCACAATAGAAAAGGCTGTGTACAGCTCTTGATTGTGTACTGCCCTTAAAGAAGAATGTTGCCTTTACATAGACAAGACAAGGATGGTTAAAGAGAGCATGAAATAGGTCAGTGAAGGCCCTGAGAAAAATCAGAGAGAGAAAGAGACAGATGAATGCTGGTATAAGAATTGGTTTTCAGCCTCTCCAAGGTTGTCAATCCTACTTCCTCCCTTCTTGGGACCATTCTTTGGGTTATTTTTGCTTATTTCTGCTGGTCCCTGGCCCTCAAATAGGTGGAGTAACTCTGTGATACAACAGATAAATAATTTGGTAGCAAAATCTATTCAGATACATTATCATAAGTTAGCTATGGAGGACCACAAGACTCAAGATGAGGTTGTTATTTTATACAGGGTGTTTCCAAAACCCATCTCCACTCAACCTAAAAGGGGGGACTTCTGCCCCTAGACCAAGCAGAGAGGGGCCACCCAGAACCCCCTCTGACAGGCGATCTGAATTCTTGCTTAGGCTGTGAGGCTAAGTACTGCAAGGGAATATAAATAAAAGATAAAAATATCTCTCTGGGTTCCCTGAGGGACAAGCCTGGCTGCATAGGGGTTGATGTCAAAAGTATCCCCTCTCCAGGAAAAAGACATCGGGATGGGTATGACCCTCATGCCTCACTGGACAACGACAGGGGGACTGGAACCATTACAAGGTCCCCTTCAATTACTGGAGGTCAGGCCTCTATCCCCGCCTTCCCAAGATTAGAATCGCCACAGCTCTTCTATACTTAGAGAAGGGAGGAGATGTCAAGGACAGCCCTGCTTACACACTGAAGGCCTAAAATCAACCATAGGCCTAAAATCAGCAATAGGCCTGTCAAACATGTATACTAACACCAAGTCTTGGGTCTCTGTGGAAAAACATTGGAACAGATGGCTATAAGCTAATGTAAACAGGCAGCTTTTGTGGAAATTTACAAGCCTGAGTAGTCATAGACCTTGTAAATAGGTAGCCTTGGCAGACAATACCAACTTAGATAAGGACAAGATAGTCATAAGCAGAGTCATAGTGACTTGTCCCCTGAACCTTCACCCAGCCGATACCTGGTTCTGAAGATATCTTTATTCCCCCTAAATACCCACACTCCAATGTCATTCCCTTCCCCACATCCTGCCTTTCTGTGTTTATAACTCCTGTGTGAATGAATTACTATTTGAGAAAAAATAAATTATAAAAAAAGAAAAGAAAATTATATAATTTAATCTTGTAAGAAAAAAAAAAGAAAAGAAAAACTTTTCTCAACAATAAAGGAACTTCTGGGGGAATTACCTTCCCTGAATTCAAGCTGTACTACAGAGCAGTAGTGGTAAAAAAAACAAACAAACAAACAAACAAAAACAAAATAAAACTGCTTGGTTTTGAAACAGAGACAGGTAGAAATATCACTGTAATAGAAGTGAAGTCCAGAAATGACACTTATGGTCACTTGATCTTTGACAATGAAGCTGTGGAAAAGGATAGCATGTTCAACAAATGGTGCTGGTTCAACTGGAGGTCAGCATGTAGAAAAATGCAAATTCGTCCATTTTTATCTCTGTGTACAAAGCTCAAATCCAAGTGGATCAAGGACCTTCACATAAAACCAGATACACTGAATCTAATAGAAGGGAAAGTGGGAAATCCTCAAATACTTGGGCACAGGGGAAAAGTTCCTGAAGAAAACACCAATGATTTATGCTGTAAGATCAAGAATTGACAAATGGAACCTCATAAAATTGCAAAGCTTCTGTAAAACAAAGAACACTGTCAATAGGACAAAATGGCATGCAATAGATTGGAAAAAGATCTTTACCAATCCTACATCCAATAAAGGGCTAATATCCATACACAAAGAACTCAAGAAATTAGACTTCAGACAATCAAATAACCCTATTAAAAATGGGATACAGAGTTAAACAAAGAATTCTCAACTGAGGAAACTTTAATGGCCGAGAAGCACATAAATAAGTGTTCAACATCCTTAGTCATC